GCATTTTGAGCTCTAGATTACACAATAAAGGTTTGATGAGTGTTCCAACTATGTTTTAACTTCAATAGAATACATGATAGTGTTGGGAAAGCATTAAGAACAGCTAACCAAGGTCGCGTGACTGTACGACCTTGCCATAGATTAAGTAAGAACTGATGTGTAACTTCAGTAAAAATGTTGTCCCATGGTCGCCATCTTCCTAGCAAGTGTCGCTCGCGTGATAATTCGTCATTTGGCAATACGTCATTGCCTTCAAAAATGTTTTCAACACCTTTTCTACAACTTTAATTGCTTTTAACAACTTTAAACATTCAACAAATGATGCTCTTGATTGTTTAATCCATAAATTTCGATCCAAGATGCAATAAAATGCAAAAGTTCATGTTTTCCAGGACACCATCTTCCTAGCAAGTGTCATGGCGTGAGCATGACGTGTACATCTAGGGAAATTTGAGGACACAAATTCCTATTAAGTTACACATCTGTCTGGTATATACTTCATCTGTGACCTTGCAGTCACGCATGCACTCTCATCATGCACGCATGCACTCTCATCTCATGCACTCTCATCCTCTCTTGATCAGGACTTTAACTGTCCCTGCCTGGAAAGTTTGGAAATTGCACGCCAGAGATTTTGAAAATTTAATGGAAAGGATCAAAATTGCACGGCCGATATCTCCGCAGCGCGATACAAACTTTCCACACCGCTCCTTGTCCAGTTGTAGACCAAATAAGAGGGAAATCTGCTCATATTGCAGCTTAATTAAATCATACTGGGTGCTCACCCCACCTAGCCTTGGGTGAAGGGGAGAGGGTTTGCCAATTTCCTTATCAAATCCACTTGTTCATTTGGAACTGCAGTATCCTACTACTCTTGCCACCAGCTAGACCCTGGACCATATGCCAGGGTAGTGTTTTGCCAGTTCCTCAGGACACTGCCTGAAGCTACCTCCAGTAATTATGCATTTTGTCAATGGTCGCACCCAAATACGTCCAACCCACCTACCAGATCTGGCTAGATCCATCCATGCAATACAATTAATCAATTACACTCGTACTAGAATACAGATGATTTACAAGATGAGTTGTCTTCATTCCGACGACAATGGCAAGAAGAGCTGGAACAGAAGAGTAGGTCAAACTCCCCACAACTACAGCAAGAAACTTCTTCAGATGAAAACATTGGTGAACAACGGAAACAAAGTTTAAAACCTGCAGATACAGATGAAAGCATTGAATCTAGGGTGGGTATGAGGGTATCACCTGAAATATCTGTGTAAGTTTTAAATTAAAAATGCTAGATGCGCGACCAGGACTCATCATAAATTTTATGATCAGAGAACGTTTTTCAGAACTTTAAGTTTTAAATTGTTGACAATAGATGTATTGTACATGGAATGATTCAAATACTTGTGTACGTTTGAGGCATGATCATGGCAATTTTACATCCAGTGAAAACATGTTTTATAATCATACTCGGGTGCAAATGACTGTTCTATTAACCAGCTCTCCTTTTTCTCCAAAAAGAATGTTTAGATGTTTAATATGTCATCTTGTAACATGTAGGCCAAAGTTCTTTTTCTTACTGGGGCATCTTTGGAGCAAAAAGGCAAAATACCCGAAGGTTTGAAAACTTTTCTCCCATTTTGCTGATTTTGACTTAATTTGATTTTTCATAGATAATCTTTGACAAATAAGCATTGTTCTTATTTTTGTAAATGTTATTATTTTTTCCAAGCAATAAGATATTATCGTCAAGCCATCCAATTGTTGCCAGATATTGAATCGAGGCTATCTGATTTTAATGAACTGGTACCAAAAAATGGTGAGAACTTAAATGTCTTGTGAGTGTAGAATTTTGAATTCAAGAAGATTTTAGTCCTTTTCAACATCTCCCTTTCTAGTACAAGCACCTCTCTATTAATGCTGACACATCGGTAATAAGACATCGCTCCAATATAACACCTCTGCTAGAGAAAACTCTTCAATATGTACATCTCTCTAATATGGACACCTTTCTAATGATGATGATGGTGATGATTTTATTGATCCATCTTTAGTTTAAAATCCGATACAACATTTGTATAACACGGACGCGAATGTTGTAAATGGCTTAAAAAATGACTCATCTTATGAGTTCATTGGCGAAGTAATTTTTAATATCCGATACAACACGGCCGCTCATGTTGTAAATAGTACATACAGACACCTCTCTAATACAGACATAGGGACACCTCTCTAATACAAACACCTCTCCAATACAGACACCTCTCTAATATGACATCTCTCTAATACAGACACCTCTCTAATACACATCTCTCTAATACAGACACCTCTCTTATACACATCTCTCTAATACACATCTCTCTAATACAGACATAGGGACACCTCTCTAATGCAAACACCTCTCCAATACAGACACCTCTCTGATACACATCTCTCTAATACAGACACCTCTCTAATACACATCTCTCTAATGCAGACACCTCTCTAATACACATCTCTCTAATACAGACACCTCTAATACAGACACATCTCTAATACAGACACCTCTCTAATACAGACAGCTCTGTAATGCAGACATCTCTCTAATGCAGACACCTCTCTAACTCTAATGCAGACACCTCTCTAATGCAGACACCTTTCTAATACAGACACCTTTCTAATACAGACACCTCTCTAATACAGACAGCTCTGTAATGCAGACATCTCTCTAATGCAGATACCTCTCTAACTCTAATGCAGACACCTCTCTAATACAGACACCTTTCTAATACAGACACCTTTCTAATACAGACACCTCTCTAATGCAGACACCTCTCTAATGCAGACACATCTCTAATACAGACACCCCTCTAATACAGACACCCCTCTAATACAGACACCTATCTAATATGACACCTCTCTAATGCAGACACTTTTCTAGTTCAGACACCTCTCTAATACGACACCTCTCTAATACAGACACCTCGAATGCAGACACCTCTCTCTAATAGGACACCCCTCTAATACAGACTCCTTTCCAATACGGACATTTCCCCAAAAAGGGACACCTGTCTAGCACAGGAATTTCCTTCTGATAACTGCACAGGCAAGCATCGTTGTGTGATCGGATTTTATTTGTCCATACCCTAGAGTCATCTCAAGAAATATTCACACCAGATCTTAATGATGACGACGATGGAACAGCAAGCAATTACAACATGAACTTATACACGTAAGGAACACATCCATAATTGGTCTGGGCTTCGAGAAGGCTGTTTCTTCTATAATTTCAGTTTATATTCTGTAGGTCAAAAGACCTTGAAGATGTCGTCAGAGACTTTGACAAATTGAGTGTGAAAGGAATTTGTGAACCAGAATTTCCAACAACTGTATGGCCTGTGATATTTTTATGCTACAATGTTTATTTATTGCAGATTAATCTATAGATGGTTTTATTTTTGTTTATTAAAGAAAACGCACATATCTGCATTGCCAGCTGAGCTGTTGATGTACATTTTTAAATGGGTTGTGTCGCAACGTCTTGACTTAAGATCACTTGAAAGAATAGCTCAGGTAAAAGAGATACATACAGTATAAGGACATGACTGGAAAAGTCCTAGGACTGGATGAAGTTTGATCAAGTTTTAGGACTGGATGAAATTTTGATCAAGTCATAGGACTGGATGAAGTTTTGATCGAGTCCTAGGACTGGATGAACTTTGATCGAGGATTCAAGTCCGATGATTGGATAAAGTTTTGATCAAGTTTTAGGACTGGATGAAGTTGATTTGGTCCTAGGACTGGATAAAGTTGATTTAGTCGTAGGATTGGAGAACGTTACATACAACACACCGATTATGACATCCGTTTATTAGGTCTGTAAAGGTTTTTATGCCTTGGCACGTGATGCAGAGATTTGGCGTTTGGCTTGTATAAGGTAAGGATAACTTAACTAACTTTGTATAACACGTCTGGCTTAATGTGAAACCATGTGCTTCTCAGTACATTACAACATTCATACAAAAGTATTTTCATATGTATGTTATGTTTGTGATCATGTAGGATATGGGGTGTGAATCTTGGATCAACAGTGTCATGGAATGGATCTTGGAGGGAGATGTATCTGAAGCGAGCTCACGTGTTATGCAACGGTTAGAGCGATATATTAAACTGGATAGTTCCTTGTTCATTCGATAGCTTCCTGTTCATCTTTTAATCGACCGGAGTAGCCGAACAAAACCTGCGATGCTTGTCAACTAAGTCATCTGAAATTTCGTTTCAAGCCTACCAACATTCGCTTCTTGCATCGAGCTATTGCGATCACGCTTCATATTGCAATTTTTCCACATTCATCTTCGAAACGGACAATTGAGCATTCTTCCATAAAATTGTGCAAGTCTCGATTCAAGTAACGATTTTTCATTACCACGCTTCATAATATCACCTTCAAGAGTGGTTTCTCATTCTTCAGTTTTTCCAGTTATATCAAAAGCGTCCTTCATGATATCGTCTTCATAATATCAACTTTTTTCATCATTCTTCAGTTTTTCCACAGTTTTATCAAAAGCGGCAGTTTGTCGTCTTTATTAATGATATCATTTGCAAACGACTCTTTTTCTTCTTCAAATCCGGACATTTTTCATCTAAAACAAGGCACATTAAACATGTCTTCTCCACTTCTTAATTGAAATGATAATCAGCCAACCCCATATCGCAGAATTTGAACAAGGCACATGTGTTAAAGGCACAGTTCAGCCTTTTGAACGATGGTTTTTAAGGCGCATTTCAGCTCTTTTAATTGAAAAAAACTAACTAGGAAAATCAGTTAAGCATAATTCAAGATCACCAAACTCAATGTTTTTAACATTTTAAAACATTTTTATTGTTAAAAACATCGACTTTACTGATTTTGAATTATGCTTAATTGATTTTCCAAGTTAGTTTTTTCATTTAAAAGGGCTGAAATGCGCCTTAAAAAACATCGTTCAAAAGGCTGAACTGTGCCTTTAATCACATTCCCAACTGTTAAAACTTCATAAGAAATCAATGTAGAAAACGGCGCCACTATATCTTTTTACAGGTGTATACATCAGCAAGGTCAGCTACACACGGCCAAGTGAACCGACGTTTTACCAACAATATACTCCGTATCAACTTATCATTTATTATCGATACCTTCGATTTTTCACCGATGGTGAGTGCTCACCAAATGGATAGCTCTACGACTTATTTCTCTTAGAGGTCCAGTAAGGACCATCTTTTAGTGATCTAGTGTTTCCAGAGGAGGAAATCTAAAATAATCTAACTTATGGATAGTTCTACCAGTTCTAAACTGTTGTTCCTAGAGGTCCAGTAAGGATTGATCCAGTGTTACTACACGAATAGACCTAAACTAAACACATTTTATTTATATTGAATAGCTCTATCAGTCCGAAACTATTGCAATCTAAATCTCAAATATAAACCAACCTAACTTATGGATAGCTCTATCAGTTCTAAACTGTTGCTCCTAAAGGTCCAGTAAGAGCCATCACTTATAATCAGACAATTGCATATTACAGAATCAACCTTGTTCACAGAGTTGGATGACACTTGTACTCACAACTGAAATAATTTTTCATTCATCAGGATCAGTGTTGTTTCTTACAAGCCCAGAAGAACCACATCTTTCTCTTTCAAAACTGTCCCTGAAAAATGAATCCACGAACAATGTTTGGAATGGCAATTACAGATTGGTTGGAAATAAAGTAAGGGAAGACTAAATTCGAATAAAAATGAGACAAGTTTTGGTCTCCCTAGAGGTCCAGCAAGGACATCCCTTACCGTCCAGAGTTACTACAGGAGGAAACCTGAACTAAACTAAAGTAACTTTATTTATAGTGGATAGCTCGATCGAGTTTTCAGGGTCACTTGAAATTCCAGAACTTTGCAAGCAGTTTTCAGGAGTAAAATATAAACCAGATTTTTCCAGGAGGTGTACGAACCCTTTGAAGAATTCCGAGAAACGTGCAACGTTTGAGAGAAGAAAACGTATAAATCAAGCAACTGCATATTGCGGGAATGGAAACCCAGTCATTAACGTAATGTACTGCCATTTGTCCAGGTACTGTTGGTGATCCAGCGAGTGGACAACTATGGTCACTCACGAAGAAGAGGCCGAAGACCATCGCCACTGGTCAGCGAACGAGTTTTTCATATGGTATGTTTGTTTATTTCACAACTTTGGATAAAAATAGTGATTGAATGGTATGGAGAACAGTGGGATTTTCAAAACAATGGAAAGAGAATGAAACATTCTGATCACTGGATCATGACTGGATGGTATGACGAACATCGAGATTTTCAAAACAATGAAAAGACAAGGAAACATTCCGATCATACGATGAACAGTTTTTGTTGGATTTACAGGAACTGCAATTACAAAACACAAAGAAAAAACGGAATAATAAGCTAACCTGGATCCAGTATACATGTCAAACATTTTGTAGGTATGAATAACCATTGACCCCTGAATAACCATTATTCCCACCTCGATGACATTAAGATTCCTATTCTCTTTTATAGAAACAGCGAAACGACAACAGTTTCCCAGTTTGATCTCGACAACGAACAGTTCTGTGCCTTTCATTTTTCCCGCGTGAAGAGTTACGAGTCATCTGTGTCACTTCCATTAGGACTGGGACGAGGTTGAAGTGTTGACGTGAACAATTTAATGTCACTTGCAATGTAAATAAATATATACCTTCCCATGTAAACATGTCACGTGGACAATTTGTGTTACCACGTGAAGACTTTGCATCATCATGTAGACAATTTGGCTTGTCACATGTACAGTTTCTGTGAATGTAGCGTTTTTGTGTAAATTAGTAAATATAGCGTTTTTGTGCGATTCACATTTAATTATTCGCCATTTGAGTTCTGTTGCATACGTATGCGTATTTTGCGTTTCAAATGACATGTCAATTTATTTTGTAGTATGTATATAGCAATAAATGTTCTGGAAACGATTCAACATGCAGTTTATTTGTGTTCACTACAGTATTAATTTTTATTGTCAAAAAATCGCTTTTCAGTTGAAATATCAATAGAAACATTAGAAAACATCTTGTAAAACTGCAAATGTGTTAGAATAGAAGGATTTTTAGGCATGTATGTTTATTCACATTGAGATCATGTTACGATGAAATATTATTCTGAGAACAACTTTAAATAAAAGGGAATGAAAATATGTTTGTTATTATTGTAAACGGCTGACTTATAATACAGGGAAAAAATGGAACAACCATTTAGAATAATTTACTTTGCTTTATATAAAACATCATTTGAAAATGATCAAGGTAATAAATATAGGGGGAAATTCACAATTTAAAACACTTTTTCTCAAACACTTTTTCTGTCCTTTTCCGTTAGCACGAGAATTCACAACGGACACACGTTCACACCATGTCACGCACGAAGTCACACAATCACGCATTACGTGGGCACGCATTATCTCGCAAGTTTCACGGGCGAGCCTACGAACACGCGCGAAGTTCACGCAATCATCTCGGACTATCTTCGGAATTCGCCGAGCTAGGTCGGGAGCGAATTCTGTTATCCAGAATATCTTTGATTTCGTCAAGAATTTTTTGCTCGATTGTGTTCATGGGCATAAGCGTGAGATCGATAATCTTTTCGTTTTCACGCAAAACGTCGAGTAGTACGCGCCCGCCTTCGTCACCGATTCGGTTCGCTTCGAGATCTACCGAACGCAAGCTCGTACAGTGTCGGAATCCGTCGGCAAGTACCGCCAAATCTTCGTCGGTGATTTGATTATAGTCCAAACTCAACGCTCGAAGTTTGGTGTTCTTTTTTAAAGCCTCTGCAATCGCGCGCCAACCATTGCGCGTTATTTGATTCGCGCTTATATTGAGGTCAGTAACCGTGTTGTTCGACTCGAGTAACCGCGCGATTTGCGTGGCGCCTTCGTCACCGAGCCCGCAATCACCCACATCCAGCGTCGACACGGCCGAAGCCTCGTTTTCGAGAATGGCGTCGACAATCGACGTCACTCCTTGGTCACCCAATGGGTTGCCATGGAGACTAAGAGAAAAAACAAAGGTAATTAGCATTACCTTATTTGGTAATTAGAAATACCATATACGGTGATTAGGAATACCTTATTTGGTAACCAATAGTCAACTGATGTATTGGTACAAACAGGTGGGGTTTCACTAAGCACTATCGTGCAGCAGATGGAGGTCAACCTGCAGTTATCAGAGTGAACAAATGATGCTTATAATTAGGCAAAAAAAAAATATGTGGGTTTCCGGTTTCTTCTTATAAAAACTTAGGTAGGGTAGGTCAACTTTTTTTTTTAAACTTTTTTTTTAATTTTCCAAATAAGCGGACGCCATTTTGTTTAGTCAGTGCTTCCACATCCAAAGATAAATTTCCCTAATATTGCCTCAAATTTCAATTTTCCACAAACTTTTTCCTCTAAGTGGAAACACTTACAAGCATGATCCAATAAAAAGTTTAGGGTCGGGATTCCGACGTCCAAAAGCTAGGTAGGGTCGGGAAACCGGAAACCCACATATTTTTTTTTTGGCCTTACCATAACTAATAGTAGTTTTGTATTTGGCAGCAAATAAGATTGCTTGCCTATAAGTGTTAATATTTCCAAAGTTGACCAGCATCTGTATGTTTTAACGTTCGCATTCCGGGCAACTGATTCACAGTTGCGAGAATGTCTATGATTTCTCTCACTCGTGTTGAATAAAATCGTGAGTGGTTGTACTTACAGTAACATTTTGATGGCGGTGTTGTTTCTAACAGTCTCGGCAACATGGGTAGCACCATCTGGGCCAATATTGTTCACATTAAGATTCAGCATCTGAAGACAATATAAGGAAGATGAAGAAAGTCTCGGATAGCATCTGAAATTTGGGTTGCCAAATTCCGTTAGTTTCTTTGGGTCGTGTACAAATATACCCTATATTTTTAGCAACACATTGTTCTATTCTTCAATAAAACCTTCAAGGATTACAAAATATAAATATGCGTTTTGTATGATTGCTAGAATATTTTAAAGCTATCAAGTACTAAGTACACAGTGTACAATGCACAGATTCTCATGAGCCGTTCAAAGGGCGTCAACATGACTAAGGCTGGTTTATCCTATCAAAGTTTTTGTGGCCACAGTAGGAATTTTGGATAGGTAAATTCTCAGTTTTGAAAGATTTGTAAGAAATGTTTGAAGGAACTGACTCTCAGTGTTAAACCAATGAACCAGTTTCCTCAAACGTTTCTTACAAATCCTTCAAAACTTGGAATTTAGCTATGCAAAATTCCTACTGTGATCACAGAAACTTTGATAGGATAAACCAGCCTTCAAAAGTCTTCCTTTTAAATGGCTGTGGAAATTCAAGGTGGCCGTCCAAAAAATGAGATCATGAAGGCTGATATCAAGAAAAGACAGATATAATGAGCATTTGCTTCCCATATTGACAACTCAAAACGATACCTTAACATTTGCACTAGATTTCAATACTGTAGTTAGCTGTTTCACGCCGTCGTCTCCCAAAGAAACATTCCGTAGCGTCAGTGAACCAACTTCTGAATTATTTTCAACCATCGAGGCGACTTCTTCCACCTAAAATCAAAAATCATATATTAAACTAACCATGCCACCATTACAGCGTTGACACTGGCTGCTTCAGGAGGAATACAGTCCGGGTTGTCATTGGTTGAGATTGCCATTGGGTTTGATGAGAATTTCAAGTGTGAATGTTATACATTTGTTATACCCTGTCCTGGAAAAAATGAGATCTCGTGATCCTGAGGAAAATATTTTCAATTTTTAATATGTTCGTTATTGGAGAATCTTAAGGAATCAATATATATCATGCTTCCTTATCTGTCACTTGATTTTGCGTATATATCATGTTTCCTTATCTGTCATTTGATTTTGTGAAGTGTTTGTTGTTCAATGTCCAAATTTGTTCAAATGTTGCATCCAACAATATTGGATTGAGTTTGAATTTATTGAGTTTCTCATTCATTGGTGAGCGGATTTCCCAACACGCTATCAATTGATAGGGAATCCGAGGTACCTACGATTTAACGTCCTTATCCGAGACGACGGAAAAGTCTAACCATTAGCTGATGTCAATGTAAAGGTAGCTCTTTCTCCTCAATTATTTTAAGACCTTGAGTAGAGGTCCGACCAAGGGTTGAATCCGGGTCTCTCAGCTTGGGTAGGGCGCGTATGCTGGTTTTAAGGGCCTTTAAACCCGGTAATTTACCTGCTCAGGATTGAGTGCAACACTGGCTATCTCCAGATCTTTGTGATCTTCAATCAAAGTCTTCACAGATCCTTCATGTTTCACCCCGGGTTTAGCACCCACCGCCTTCAGAGCACGCTCCGGGATCTGCTCCCCACTCCCCACTGAGTCCGGGTCATTTCCAGGGTCCAGGTCTTGATCTGTGTCAGTCACCTCTGCGTGAATTGAAAAGTGAGAAAAAAGTTGTAAACAAATTGTAAAACTCATTAATAATCGACTTAAAAACGTGAGGTCAAGCGTAGGTAGCATTTTAGTTAGTAGCTGTAATAAGCTATCGAGGCGAGCATAAACCATGGAAGCTTATAGAGTTACAGTACCTTTTTCAGACTCATTTTGCTTGTTACTATTCTCACTGTCACTGGGCTCTGGTGAAGCCATGTCTTCTTCATTGTCAGCTGTTGGGACTGCTGACTGTTGTTCATCAAGGATGCTTCCACCTTCATCGCCATCAATTTCTTTCGAACCTCCATCCACATTATCTCCTTCTTCTTTTCCTTCCTGATCACTTCCATTTCCAGACTTCTTTTCTTCCTTATTTTCATTATCCATTTCCTTTGCAGGTATCGTGTCATTCTTACCATCGATATTTTCTGCTAGGACTTCGGTCGCACCACCAGAAGCTTGTTCAAGGTCTGCTTCGTTCTTTCCACTTCCGATTTCTCCTGACAGACGACAAAATAGGTAAGTGCATTGTCTTTAAACAAAGCATTCCAGTTAATCTTACGTATGTATCCGCGCGGGAAAATTTAAATCTATTATTAAATAAATAAATCAAGTTTTGTATATAATTTAATGTGTGCTTGTTCAGGAATTACTACTTAAATAAAATTTGGAAAAATTAGACTTTTCAATACGTAGACATACGTATGGAGATCATTAGATCGTTAGGTCTACTTACCAGCTTCAAGATCCACACTTGTCCCAGACAACCCTTCTTCACCCTCTTTACTCTTAGTTATACCACCAGGTTCAGCTTGTTGGATTTCCGCCTCCTCTGCTCGCTCTTTGTTATCCACCTCATGGGCACTGATCTTTTCTTGTTCGTCGTTCCCTTGTGTTCCTTTCTGTTCTGCTGTTTCCTCTAGTGTACCCTCTTTATTGTCATTATCCCCTTGTGTAACTTCATGACCTTCTTGATCCATAGTTTTGGTTTCAGTAGCCTGGGCTTGCTCTGTGTCAATGTTTTCTATAAAAAAATATTAAGAGAATCGTTTGTATGTTACGTAACACGCGCTCAAACTAATGAATATACTTTTCCACTTGACTATGACTATATTCAAATTTTTAAATTTTTGATACGTTTCCCAAGCGGCAAACAAATTTAAAAAGTATGTTTAGTGCTTTACCTGTAAAATTATGCTAAAATGAAGATATTTTAGATGGTACGCCAAAGAGAAAATGATGTCTGAAGTTCAGTAAGTTTTGCTTATAAATGCTGTATAAATATGGCGTCAATTTTACAGCATCAATGATAATCGTATCTATATCGACAATATTTAACTATTATTTTGTGTTTCTCAACCGCCAGATAAATTTAAAAAGTTGCTGATTGTGTAAACTCAGGGTTCGTAGTCTCCAAGACCAAAAAAATTAAAAGACTTTCAAAGACTTTTTCTGCCTATTTTCAAACACTTTTCAAAGACCTTTGAGAGCAATTAGCTGTCGAAAAATTGCGAGTGTAAGCACCATTTTTACCCGGTAATTATAGTTCCGTCAAATCACATCCTAAAATGCACGTGCACGTTTTCGTCGATATTTGCGAAAACTTTGCTTCAATCAATCGATATTTTATTACCATTATAAATCATATAATCAATTCCTCACTAAAGAATTTAAAGACTTTCAAAGACTTTCTTCGCTTTTTCACACAATTCAAAGACTTTTCAAAGACCTTAAAGACCTGCATTCAAATTTAAAGACTTTCAAGGATTTCAAAGACCGCTACGAACCCTGTAAACTACAAAATAAAGCTAAAACAAAGTAATTTTGAGAGGAACGCCAAAAGATTTTAGGTTTTGAACACTTTTCATTGCAAATGAGCAACGTTGAAAAAACTGCTTCTTAATAATCATTAAGAATATTGCCGTCATGTTCGTCATTACCCTCGATATCCTCTTCTTCGTCTCCAGTTCCCTCGACACCAACATACACCTTGACCTCTTCATTGAATGACACTGTCTTCTTTGGTCTACTTTCATCATCAGATAGATCAGGCGTCTAGTTTACATACAGCAACAAGGAAAATTATTTTCATTACTTGAATAGGGAGCGGTCAATATATATGGAGGGGGTTGTCACCAAAGAGAAAAGGGTTGGGTAAACAAAATTTTGAGTGAGTACCCAAGATTGGGTAAATGAAAAACAAAACAACTCAAGGGTTGGGTAATAAAAAATTATTGTAATTCCCCAAGCATGACTCACTCAAATATTGAAGATTAAAAAGCATAGTCAACAGTCATATGTCAATACAGTATGTAAATCAATCAGAGTCAATATCTTGATCATTTTCCGATTTGTCAGGAGGCAAATGGTGTATCCAAAGAAAGTACATGTGCAGACGGAAAATTGCACAAGCAGTTATCAAACTCGTGTCACAGAAGTGGTAAAGAACATGTGTGACAACTGAATGGTGTCCTTTTGTAATTTTTTTGGCCAGGGATGGGAGTTGGGTAACAAACATATTTGGCTTTTTAATGGTTCGATCAGCAAAATTTTACCAAGAAAAATATACATTGCCAGCCCCCGCCATGAATGACCAGTCCCTAGTAGACCTTGCAATTGACCACTGCAATTGATTGACACACAGTTCAGCCAACAGTGTTTTCAAGTTGTGAATTGGATATAAAGCCAAATTAGTCTCTACACTGAAATTCAAAACACTTTCGAAAAAAAATGGTAAAACCAAGAATTGTTAAAATTTAGACGTCGTCTCGCTTCACATATTTTTACGTCTTTTAGAAAACCTCACATAAACTAGACAGTGTCTTTATCAATGGATTTACATTCCATTTACTGGCCTCTTTATTCACGCGAATAAGTTATGATTAAATTTATGACTGACAAGTTTTATAGATAAATATTTTATTGTTTTATTTTGTTTCTTAATATCAGTACAACAGTTCAATTCCGTTTTTATGAACTTAAGACATATATTATGTTTTTATTGAATACTTTAATTTTATTTTTATCAGTTTACAAGGCGTACAATTTACAGTATATATATTTTATCATTGAACGCATCATTGTAAACCAAGAATTATTAACAAATTTATCGTATAATTCACATTTACTTGTTATTTTATTTTCTATTTATATGTTTAGAGTCCGTCAGACTTTATTTTATTCCATTTTTATGCAAGCTCTCCCCAAACCAAGGCCTCATTGGGGTTGACGAAGTGATTTATAGATGATATAATCTTTGAATGTGAGCATTACTTGAGGATTTTGGGTGTCAAACGTATCTAAAAAACGTACATGTATGGGACTTGTGATTTGTGTTCTTTGTGAAAGTGTGGGCGAGGGAGGAAGGACAGGGAGGGAGGGGGGAGGGGAGACCCAAATGCCACCATATTCCTTGGCGGCCGTACACACGAACACATTTTCTTTGTACAAAAGCTGGCATGCTAGCTATGGGACATGGGACTTTAGCCACACCACAGGCTGAAATTCAACCTGTGTTACTTTCGAAAAAACATCGTTTATTTAAAAAGGTCGCTACCTTGGTACTGTCACGTAGAATTCCACTGCCTGCAGAGTCAGGCCTTGCCTTCGCATCACCTCCGCTGTCGTTACTTATCCTTCCTGATCCCTTAGAATCACCAGCCTTATCCTTGCTAGACCTCCGCGATCCCTTGGCACTCTTCTCAGACTCTGAGCCGCTTTTAGATTCCTTTCCACTACTCTTCTTTGAACTCCCGTCATCGGAGTCACTACTGCTCGAGGAATCTTTGTCCGAGTCGGAATCGGAGTCCGAGTCTTTGTCCGTATCTTTCTCGGAATCCGACTTCGTATCTTTCTCGGAATCCGATTTCGTATCTTTCTCCGAATCCGACCCTTTGCCTTTTTCGGAGTCCGAACCTTTCGGATCCTTATCGGTATCTTCGTCGGAATCGTCGTCGTCCTTATCCGTATCCTTTTCAGAGCCCGATAGATGTCGATCGTCATCCGAGGCTTTCCGATCAGGGTCCGACACTTTCCGACCAGAATCAGATTCCTTTTTACCACCATCCTTGTCGGGATGGTTATCGGAATTCGACCCTTTATCATTGTCCTTATCCGTATCTTTCTCGGAGACCGATTCTTTGTCTTTTTCGGGCTCCGACACTTTCCGATCGGATTCCAACACTTTATTATTCTCCTTGTCGGTATCATCACCGGAGTCCTTTTCCTTATCATTCTTGTCGGTATCGTTCTCGGAATCGGAGTCCTTGTCAGATTTCTTAGAATCATCAGATTTCTTAGAATCGACAGATTTCACAGAATGTACATCAGAATCCTCAACGTCCGAATTATCATCCTTCACGCTGTCTTTTACACTCTCCCGGTCCGATTCGGCTACACGTTCGCTCGTTTTCGGAGAATTCTTGCCATCCTCGGACTTTCTAGGACTTGACGTCTCCTCCGTACCTTCATCCTTCATCGATCCATTCTCAGATTCGTTCTTGGAAACGGGCTCAGGAGTGCCAGAGGTTTCAAGCGCAAGATTTTTAAGATCTTGTTCAGACGTGTTTCCGTATGTGATGGATTCGTTGTCGGATGGGTGATCTGTGTCTTCCTTTATCGAACTTCTTCTTGAGTCGGATTTCTCAGATTCGCGATCAGATATCTTGGAATGTTTGCTCTCTGCACTTGATTCCTGGAATGCAATTATTTTAATTATTTTATTCGAAATTAATGAAAACACCAATACTTGTAAAAGTTTTCATCGTCATACTAATCAGAGGATAGCACTATCAGTTCTAAACTGTTCTTCCTAGAGGTCCAGTAAGAGTCATCTCTTATTGATCCAGTGTTACTACAGGAGGAAACCTAAACTAAACTGACTTTAATTATACTGTATAGCTCTACAAGTTCTAAACTGTTCTCCCTATAGGCCCAGTAAGGATCATCTCTTATTGATCCAGTGTTACTACAGGAGAAAACCTAAACTAAACTAACTTTATTTATACTGGATAGCTCTATCAGTTCTAAACTGTTCTCCCTAAACTAAATTGCGCTGTAGTTATGTTAAGTGTTGTGCCAGGACCGGGAGTGCTTACCACTTTCTCGGAATCTTTGCGTGACGACTTGCCATCATCCTCACCATCACTACCGTCACTGTCACTGGAACTTGAGCTGGAATCACTGTCGCTGTCTTTCTTTCCTTCATCCTCGCTAGAACTCTTGTCTTTATCATCGTCTTTATCTTCATCACTGTAAATCTCTTCAGGTTTCTCGCCTTGTGAAACTTCATCCAGCTGCGTTTAGGCAAGGGGGAAAGCATTTGTATCATTAAATAAAATTTCAAAATTGTTAGCCAATCAGCTAATGATCTTTAACAGCTGTACTAACAGAATCAAACAAATTACTAATAATCAAGCTACAAACGAAACAACGTATAACACTACGTTCATTGGCAAACCACACCTTCGAGAGAACAAGCATGAAGTAAACAAAAACAACTTGTATACAGTGGTAAGTGGTATCAAGAAACTTAATTTACACTTTAGTTATTTTAGATAAATGGGAATTTTGAACTGGCGAAAACATATTTAAAGAAAATTTCCTTTGGTCCCCATTGTGTTTTCCTTGGGTCCCCCCTAAGATAAATTGAATCCCTTATTGGTTTAATGTAACTATAGGAGGAACCGAGAGTAAAAGAAGAATCTCGCTCGGATCACCTTTAGAACACATGTTTGTTTATCATGTTTCCCAGACGTTGGTAGAGTAAGATGGAAGCACGTTTACACATGCGAGTGAGGTGAAATTATGATCTATCATAATCAACTAGATATTTTTGGAACTAACTCTTGTACTACCAACCTTTCTTGTTGCTTCAGTTTCGTCTTCGATTTCTTCATCTACGTCATCAGTTTTATCATCAACTTCCGGCGGTGCTTCCTTCTGTTCATCCACCTCACTTCCTTCTTTATTTTCCTTTCTAGGACTCTCTTTGCCTGTAGAAAAGAAATCATACAATGTTACCATCATGTCATGTTAAACTTGATCAAACTGATGTGTTTCTTTTAACAGAACAAACTTAAAAAGTATGTTTATTGCTTTATCTGTAAAATTATGCTAAAATGAAGAGATTTTAGATGGTACGCCAAAGAGAGAGTGATGTTTGAAGTTCAGCAAGTTTGGCTAAAATTGGTGTATAAAATTGGTGTACAAATATTTAACTATTAATTTGTGTTTCTCAACCGCTAGATACATTTAAAAAGGTGAAAATTACAAAATAAAGCTAAAACCAAGTAATTTTGAGAGAAACGCCACAAAGATTTTAGGTTTTGAACACTTGTCATTGCTAAAACGCGACATATAAAAAAGTTCTAAGGTTCAAGAAATCTCCTTTACCTTTCTCACCATCAGACTGTGGTTCATCTTCTTCAAAATCTTCATCAGCATAGCTTTCATCATATCCATCTTCATCCTGATGTATCCCGGAATCTTTTGTACTCTCACCACCCTCAATATCCTCCTTATGCTCCTCTGTGTACTCCGTTGTATCTTGTTGATCATTAATATCCATCGAGTCGTTCTTTTCTGTGACGTCATCATCACGTGGGGTCTGCGTGGTCGTGTCCACCATTACAGCTGAATCTGAAGCAACAATATATTGTCATTAATTTATCATACGACTGATATTGTATGGGTGGGTTCAGTAAGCTTTAGTAGTAAGCAAATGATGGTCAGCTTCATAATGACTGACCAGTGAACTCTAAAAGGATTGGAACGATAACTTGGCCGCCATCTTTTGAAGCCAAATAGACCTTTCCCCTTTTAAGTAAAATTTTGATCTAAACAAGTTTGGACAAAAATTTCATCACAGCTTGAAAGAGCATCACAAAATTAGTAATATTCCGAAGTTTCGTTGCGAAATGTTGTAAAATGCGGATAATATAGCCTTGCGAAGTTTGCCGTTTTTCAGTCATTTTGCATTACAATCTAACATTTTGCATCAGTTTGATCATCTGATTATCAATTTCCCGTTTGTAATACCAAATGACTGAAAAACGGCGAACTTCGCAAGGCTATATTATCCGCATTTTACAACATTTCGCAACGAAACTTCGGAATATTACTAATTTTGTGATGCTCTTTCAAGCTGTGATGAAATTTTTGTCCAGACTTGTCTTGATCAAAATTTCACTTAAAAGGGGAAAGGTCTATTGAAGGCCGCCATGTGGGTATGAAGTGGAAAACACGCCATCTAAAAGACATTTGTTTTCGAGCACTAAATAGCTGTATTTCAATAAGGAAAAAAGTTTAAAAACTTTCAACAATACTTGAAATTTAATACAAAACATGGAGTACGGAACGTAGAGCAGTTTTAAAGTTCTTTTCTCAGAAGTCAAAATGCGAAGTTTTTTTCGGCACGTTCAAACTTGTGTGTAATATTTTGAACAGGAAACTGTTACCCACCCTGGGAAGTTTTTGCTGTTAGTGGATGTAAAATACTTAGAACTATCCAGGAAATCAGGTTTGAATCTTTAAAATTGAAGCTCTTTAATAAAAAAAATTTTCACTCAAAAAAATTTTTGACTGAATTTCCCACTCGTCGAAATTCTCCCTATAGAAAGTTAATTTATCCTGCGCGGCTCCCGCGCTTGGCTTCAACCAATCATAGGACTTGATCACTGGAGTTATCGTTCTAGTTTACCTAGAGTTCAGGGGGAAGAGAGGCCACTGTTGATAAATTTTCACACAATGTTTATCCTTTCCCGCCAATAACTAGAAACTGTAAGTACAGTGGTAAGTACCTCTTCTACTATGTCACCAACACCACAGTAGATTTATGGTATAGTTATCAATATGCATGGCCGCCATTGGCTTCACTTTAGGTACCAAGTACCTTAAATGAAAAGACATATCGCAAGAAATTTTAAACGTACCGTCATCTCCGTCGTCTACGTTCATTTTGGTGATAGTGACTTCAAATCTCTCCGTGACGTTACCATCGTCTTCATGATCGGCTTTGTCATGCTGTTCAGTGGACTCATGCTCGCTTCGTGGTGACTGTTCCTCTGACTCATGCTGTTTCTTTTCTCGGGATTTTTTATCACCTCGCGACCGCTTGTCTTTCATTGAAAACGCTATCTGACAGCTAGAGAAATCACAACGAAATGGAATAAGAAATTTTGGTTTTCTACTTATAGTAACACTGTATCAATAAAGGATGCTACATATCCCCACGAAGAACAGTTTAGAACTGATAGAGCTATTCAGTATAAATAAAGTTAGCTTAGTTTAGGTTTCCTCCTGTAGTAACATTGGATCAATAAAGAGTGACCCTCATTGGACCTCTAGGAAGAACAATTTAGAACTGACAGAGATATAAAGTATAAATAAAGTTAGTTTGGTTTAGGTTTGCTCCTGTAGTAACCCTGGCTCAATAAGAGATGATTCTTAATTAGAACTGATATAGAGCTATCCAGTATAAATACAGTTAGTTTAGTTTGGGATTCCTTTTGTGGTAACACAAAACCAATGTCAGGATGGCGCTCACTAAACCAAAGGTAGTCTAGTTTCACTACTTTAGAACTGATGGAACTATCCAGTATAAATAAAGCTATAGTTGAGTTTAGGTTTCCTGGTGCAGAAACACTGGATCAATGAAGAGATGAGCCTTACTCGTCCTTTAGGGAAAAACAGTGTAAAAATGACAAAGCTATTTAGCAGAAAAAAAATTAGTTTATTTCAACTCACCGATAACATGGAGCAGCACCTTCGACATTGACAAACTGAAAATGTCCATTCTTTCCTCCCAGAATATGGCCGGGTTTATGTTTATATTCACAACATGAACTGAGTCGAATATCCTGCATGCTGTCGATGTAGAACGTCAGACCAAATGGTGTTCCGCGATGGCGACGCGAGATAAACGTAAATATGGCTGTACAGGAAAGATAAGAACATTCTTTCAGTTTCATAGAAGTTGGGGTTTTACCGTGAAAAAACGAGCGTGCTGAAACACAATGGTCTTGGCGGAAATTTTTCAGGTTTCATGAGAGGAGTAACTTAACACTTGCCCGTGGCAAGTGAAAATATCATGACGGGCAAGTAAACGTTTTATCTTGCTTGATTGGGCAAGTTGCCTTGCCACAAAAAGCTGGGCATCTTTAAGTTTATGTTTTCATTGTCGGATAAATTTTTTATAGTGCACATACTTGATTCAAATTTTGTTTTTTGTGGGCCAAAGCTAGATCTGAGGCAGTATAACATAGCCATATAGAGCAATGGCAGAACGGGTCGACATGTTGTCTCCTTAATTTATACGCCCTACCTAGGTACCCCAGCGGCCATTGTCTGATGGCAAGTGAATTTTATTCAGGGCAACTAATTTTCATGTCCAATTAACTTGCCCTGAGGGCAAGCGGTCAAAAAAGTAACAACTGGGTTACACAACTGGGTTGTTGCACCTACTATAAAGATTGCTGCTGTACTTATTCCTGCCTAAACTATATTACAGAAGAAATTTCAGCCATTACTCACTGTTAGGTGGCAGGAGTTCACGAAACACACACAATGAACTGCCTCCACAATGTTGTTGTAAAACCATCACTTCACAAAGACGTTCTTCGGGATACATATCATTCTTTAACTGTAGTTTGGGACCAAGGAATCTCATAGTTACCTCCGCCATTGATTGCAGCTAAATAAAAAAGCACAAGAGGTCTATTTAGGTTTCCCTGTAGTAACACTGGAGCAATAAGGGATAATCTTCACTGGATCTCTTGGGAGAACAGTTTACTATAGAACTGATAAAACTATCCAGTATAAATAAAGTTAGTTTAGCTTAGATTACCTCCTGTAGTAACACTGGGTCAATAAGAGATATTCTTACTAGATCTCCAGGAAGAACAGTTTAGAATTGATAGAGCTATCCAAGTTATCCAGTATAAATAAAGTGAATTCAGTTTAGGTTTCCTCCTGTAGTAACACTGGATAATGATGAGACGATCCTTACTGGACCTCTAGGGAGAACACTTTAGTATACTTATAAACCTATCCAGTATGTTAAAGAAACTCACTACAAAAAGAGTAAACTTTATTAACCTGAACTTTGTGAGCCACAGCAGGTTCTGAATGTGCCAGATAGGTATACTGAAATAAAAATAAGACTTAATTATAACTTCACACAAAATTTTGAAAATCCATAGAAGTTCATAGAATGGAAATTGTAAGGACCTTTATTGGAAATAGAATTTGATTTTGATTATCCATAATAATTGTATATTTCCATAGTGTGGATATAGTATCGAAATAGTATATACTACATATTTGGTGGTGCAATTGCAATTTTCATAATATGGATTTCACATTTTTTCCCAGTGCTGGCAGTACCAGCGTGAATTCTTTCTTACCCTGTGAAGTTTTAACTTGCTTTTTTTCTGACCAGCGGAAGCAGATCTGGACCGTGATCCTTCGCGAGGTGTACGCGAGGGCGGAGGTGCGGGCATAGGATAGGTTGCGGGTGGGTAAGGCTTAAAATAGGGACTGTATCCACTTCCTGATATCAATGAATTCATTTCATCGCCGGTGCTCGTGTCTGACGGGGCGACCTACAAAACAGGAATTTGAATTTTGAAAGAACTGCATATCTGCAATATAGTCGCTTGAACATCGTCAATGAAAACATTGTCTACTCTCATTTCATGGTTAGGGAAACATGGCTAGAAAACAATATTTCCTGGTTTGTCTACCTTTGGGAAACATAGCTCAGAAACAATGTTTCCTGGTTTGTCCACCTTTGGGAAACATAGCTCAGAAACAATGTTTCCTGGTTTGTCCACCTTTGGGAAACATAGCTCAGAAACAATGTTTCCTGGTTTGTCCACCTTTGGGAAACATGGCTAGGGAAACAATGTTTCCTGGTTTGTCCACCTTTGGGAAACATGGCTAGGAAACAATGTTTCCTGGATTGTCCATCTTTGGGAAACATGGCTAGGAAACAATGTTTCCTGGTTTGTCCACCTTTGGGAAACATGGCTAGGAAACAATGTTTCCTGGTTTGTCCACCTTTGGGAAACATGGCTAGGAAACAATGTTTCCTGGTTTGTCCACCTTAGCGAAACATGGCTGGGAAACAATGTTTCCTGGTTTGTCCACCTTCGGGAAACATGGCTAAGGAAACAATGTTTCCTGGTTTGTCCACCTTTGCAAAACATGGCTAGATAGGAAACAATGTTTCTTGGTTTGTCCACCTTCGGGAAACATGGCTGGGAAACAATGTTTCCTGGACTTGAAAACTTACATTATAAAAAAGTCTTCCTCTTTCTTCATCGTAACCAAGTTCAGTTGGAGTGAGGACATGTGCTGGAGCTGTCCGTGGTCTACGTCTTGCTGATCTGCTAACTTTCTCTCGAGGTGTGAGCAACGACATTATTGCTTCATCTCCCTTCTTTTCTCTGTCCCCCTTCACTTTTTTGACCAGTTCGACCTTATACATATCATCCAATCTCTTTCTTAATTCATGCTGCCTTGATCTCTGCAAGATTATGTTGTATAACGGTGACAAATGCATGAAATGTCGTGCTATAAACTCAACTATCTTTATTTATACTAGATAGTTTTATCAGTTCTTCATAGAGGTCATAGAGGTCCAGTAAGAATCATCCCTTATTGATCCAGTGTTACTACTAACTTTATTTATACTAGATAGCTCTATCAGTTCTAAACCGTTCTTCCTAGAGGTCCAGTAAGGATCATCTCTTATTGATCCAGTGTTACTACTAACTTTATTTATACTAGATAGCTCTATCAGTTCTAAACTGTTCCTCCTAGAGGTCCAGTAAGAATCATCCCTTATTGATCCAGTGTTACTACTTACTTTATTTATACTGGATAGTTCTATCAGTTCTAAACTGTTCTTCCTAGAGGTCCAATAAGGATCATCTCTTATTGATCCAGTGTTACCACAGGAGAAAATCTAAACAAAACTAACTTAAATTTATACTAGATAGCTTTATCAGTTCTAAACTGTTCTTCCTAGAGGTGCAGTAAGGATCATCTCTTATTGATCCAGTGTTAGTACATGAGGAAATCTAAACTAAACTTAACTAAACTAACTTAAATTTATACTAGATAGCTTTATCAGTTCTAAACTGTTCTTCCTAGAGGTCCAGTAAGGATCATCTCTTATTGATCCAGTGTTACTACAGGAGGAAACCTAAACTAAACTAACTTTATTTATACTGGATAGTTCTATCAGTTCTAAACTGTTCTTCCTAGAGGTCCAGTAAGGATCATCCCTTATTGATCCAAGGTTCAATTTCATCAGAGGGCCTATACAGTTGCATTTCTCACGGCTGTTTCTGGTTAAGTCTAAATATAAAGGTATAAAATTTCAATCCAGCATATCTTCCAAAATACATCCTAATCCATACCTCCATATCCAAGGCCTTGTGAACAATGGCTGTGGCGAGGAGGTCTCTCACGTGATCTTTATGTTCTTTTTTCGCCATCTGTAATCGATACGTTTTCTCACTCACAATTTTGCCCGACTTCGTTACCTGTGACAGAACATTTGAAATGGGTATTAAATAACGCTGTTCGAACAACAAGAGCCACAATTTCGGAGGAGAATCTTTTGTATGTTATGTAACACGCGCTCAAAACTAATGAATATTCTTTTCCACTTGATATGACTATATTTAAATTTTTAAATTTCTGATACCTAACGTTTCTTAAGCAGCAAACAAATTTAAAAAGTATGTTTAGTGCTTTATCTGTAAAATTATGCTAAAATGAAGAGATTTTAGATGATACGCCAAAGAGAGAATGATGTCTGAAGTTCAGTAAGTTTTGCTTATATTGCTGTATAAAAATGGCGTCAATTTTACAGCATCAATGATAATTGTATTTAAATTGA